ATTTTGTTTTCTTGTTGCATGTCATTTATGACACCTGTCAAAAGAATGTCATTAAAAATGATCATCTTTATGGTTATGTATAATAACGTATGTTATTTTTGACAGCTGTCACTTTGAACAACGATATTAATGTTGGTTATGTTAACTGTACGTCAATTTTGACACCTGTCATTACAATATTTGTTTTTATTCATTTTTTCTGTTAATTAACTATTTAAATCTTATCATTCATCATACATTTCCACATACTAAGTCATCATTTCCGATGTTTGCAAATGTCAAATTTCTCGCACTAATCAGCCTAATTTACGTTTTTTACTCTGGAATTGCATCCAATGCGAACGTCTATTTTTAGGCCAATTAAAATTGATAAATTAATATTCGTGAAGCAGCGGAGTCTGTACGAAATATAAACGATGCAATTAACGGCAATTAAACAGCAGTTTAAAAAAAACAAATACTCTTCATTTCATATTTGAGTGTGTATGAACATTATTTTAACGTTGATGCATAAATTTTAATAACATACTTAAATGTTAAATTGCATAGATAAGACGCGATTTGATTGATTCGAACTTGACAGATGTCAAAACTAAAAAATAATAAGATACTCACACATCAAGTGATTGAATTCTATGAAAAAATATGTGTTTTATTAACAAATTTTGTCTGAAAAAAGTACGTGAAATCTTTTGGGACACTTATTTGTATGTTATCATAGATTAATTAAATTTAGATAATCGTATTGCATTTGACAGAAGTCACAATTGCTGCTTGTCAAATTCTAATAAATACAATTTGGTTGACTCACTACTGCAATCAACCAATTTCGTTTTGTAGTCGCAATTTTCGTTGCAGTTTCGTAACTATTAATAACTTCTTTTATACACATATTCAATATTTGATTGACGTGGCATTGAAACGATTTTCGAAGGCGATTAACGTTCCCTCTCCTCCACCGCCTCCTTCGATCGTAATTGGCGCCGCTGGAAATGTGCTTTTGTCATGCTCGAAAGCGTTTCGTTGCTTGTTTAATTATCGATACAACAACAAAAAAAAAAACAGTTTTAAATTACGATATAATACATATTCGAAATTACTGTTTGTGCGTTAAAGTGAAAACGTTCATTTGAATAGAGGATTCTCGTGTACGAAAACATAGCAATCACCGGGAGGGAATTTCCGCGTTTCTCCGAAATCGCATGTCCGCATCGCGTTTTCGCTATCTCCAGAGTGACACCTGTTCGTTGCAAACTATGACAGTTGCAATTTTAATTTTTTTATTAAAAAAAAAAAATTAGAACTATTGTGATTTACTTTTATTTTTCTTAAGTGACACCTGTTGGTTGAAAACTATGACTGACGACGTTATTTGATAGGCTAATGATGATCGTCATGGTTACATAATACCTGAGCATGCGTTGCCTAGTCACGGCTGTGCAAAAAAAAACACACACACAGCGTTTAATGTACCTTCTTATCTCTCCTCCGCATTCCGAAATCCGTCGTAACTGGTCTCCGTTTTAATTTTTAGCGAATTGTAGCCATTCTAGTAGCTAGATTCGACCTTAATAGCCTCGTGAATCTGGCACAAAGCGAAGAAGAAGTAGGAGGCACGAAAAAGCATGATCGATTATGCAAATCCGCGACCGTGATTCGAAGACTCCGCGATTAAAAGAACGAGTCTGATCTGACGTGTGAGAGTGAGTGAAAGAAAAGTAGTTGAGGAAGCAGAGAATGAGAAACGAACGTTGATAATCAGGTGGAAAATTAACGAAAAAAAAAAAACAAAATTAAAACAAAAGCGTATCTAAGAAACAAATAAATTTGAAACTTTTTCTTTTTTTTGTTGTCCTTCAATGCACAGTTACATTTAGTTTATTTATAATTATTTGTTGCATCAAATCAAATCACTTCTACAAACCTTGGTCGAAGAAAATCGTTATTTCGATAGATTTGACAGTTATCAACCAACTGTCAAACTTTGACATTTTATATAAGTTTTGACGTCGGTTGATAACAATCAAAATTTGACATTTTATCAAAATCAATTTGTTGAATTTCTTTATTAGATTGATAATTTTCAATTAGGATTAGAAATTGGGTATTAGTTATTTCAGTAGATTTTGTAGCTGGTTGATTACAATCAAATATGATGTAATCAAAATCTGAAAAATTGCTCTAAACTTGGGCAAGTTTTTTTGAAGTTGGTTGATAACTGTCAAAAAAAAATTAACGTTTTAGCAAAAAAGTAATATGTTATTATATAGATAAGCACTAATTGAAAGTGTAAGGCCCTCTGTTTCGACTAATTAGTTTAATTGTAATTAATTAATTTGATTGTAATTCCACTTTTGTATAATTGGTTGATAACTGTCAAAATGTGACGTTTTACTGAAGATATTACGTTGTTAGTAGGTTGATACGCCTCAACCAGAAAAATTGTAAATTACATAAAATTAAAAACAAAAGCATGCAATGTTATTCATTTGTCCTGCTAGCTATGATCGATGGTGAAAGTCGTTCTCCCAAATGGGTTTTTAATAATGCCGAAAGGCATAATTAACCGGTAATTCGCTTTTGCATTAAGGAAGAAAATAATAATGATAATGATGATGACGAAAATGCTAGACCTTTTTAGCGTGATTAAAATTGCATTTTCAATCTAATAAATGAATGCAAATGTATTAACTATTATTATTATTATAATCAAGTTTCCATTGGATTCAATTGTTCTTTTGTTAGCTGTATCGATTAATGTATACATACAATTTTTTTTTGTTTCTTTTCGTCCTCGCTCGGAATTCATTTGTTGTAATTCCATATTTCATGTACATTCTTTTTATTTTTTCTTTTTTCTTCTGTTTCGCTCCTCCTACCTTCCAAAGCCCGCTAAGTTATTCATGTACAGCAAATCGAGTGGGAGATTTTGTATGTATGTGTGTGTGTTTTGTGGATAACGAGGATTATTACACCACAGTCGAGGTACAGTTTGTATTCGAGAAAATCGATCAGCGACGCCGACAAACTCCACTTATTAAATTATTTAAATGCAGATTTCTGCTGAAGAGCAGAAGACATTCTAAGAAAAACGATAGAAATTGGAACGACGTAATTGTCCATGTTTTCGGATATCGTATTTAATGCATTTTATTATTATTATTATCCGTAGCAACCTTGACTCGTTCGTTCGTTTCCAGGTAACGAAATATATGTATATGTAAAAAAAAAGAAGTGCACGTAATTAAAAAAAACGAGGATACCGGTAGTATCAATGATTACGTAACGAAAACGCAGAATAAACTTTTGCCTTAAAATGTTAATAAATCCAAATGAACGGTCTTAAATCTTTTAAAAACTTTAAATTTTCATCAATTTATTGTTTACTTTGTTTGTTTTTTTTTGTAAATTTTCATATTTTGCTTTGTTTTTTTTTTGTAAATTAAAATTTTTGATTTTCATCGTTTTTTTCTTTCTCATTCAAATTTTCATCTGATTTCCATTCGCCTCCGCTCTTGAACTTGGCATTCGGCGGCGAATCGTGATGTAAACGGATCGGGATATAATTACGCGCCGTATACGTAACGATGAGCGCGGCGCGCGTATTTTTACGCCATTGGAGCTGCCGCAACAATTTACCATTAAGCGCCGGCTTACCCGACATTTGCCAAGTAACTTTTACACAAGTAATTGCATCAAAAATACGTATATTTATCATTTGCTCGGTACTTGCAAAATCACATGCAAAACATACAATGATGATGAAACATTTTGTAATTTTGTGGGTTACTTGTGACAAGTATAAATTTATATTTGGATGACACTATTTGCGAAGTCAACAAACTATGGTAGTCATGGAGATTACATATTTTAACTAAAATATTCGTCAAGTAATAATTGTAATAAGCTAAGTTACTTGTGACAAGTGCAATTATAGTAGAACATTGTTTTTCATTGACGACGAAAAAGTCTGCGAATTCTTACTACGTTTTTTTTTTTTTTATTCTCTAATATATTGCGCCAAAAATGTATTTTTGGGAGCAACGGATTGCAGTGAGTTTATTTTCGTAACGCGATTTACGGATTTAGAGACGCCGCAGACGCTCGCTTTTATCGTGATCTAAGCGTGCCGTGAACAAAAAATGTATCTAACGTTTTTTTTCCGTTTGTTTCCAGGAAGTTGTTGTCGTTGTCGTCGTCGTCGTCGTCAAGGGAACCTAGGAGAAATCAGCATCGATGAAAATGAAGTGCGGAAACTGCAGCGAAGTGACACACAAGGATGTCGTGATAATCGGTGAGAGATATTGTCCTTCCGAGATGATGATCGATGCTCATGCTTTTCTTGTTGTTGTTGTTGTTGTCTAGGTAACGGACCCAGCGGTATTGCGATGTCGTACATGCTGTCGGGGAACACACCTTACGTGGTGTCCGATCAACATCCGGATGAATTTCTGTCGGCCCGATTGTCACCCAGCGTCGGTCAGAGTTTGGTCTCCGAAGATCTCGGTCTGCTGGCTTCCGGTCTGGAGGGTCGCACCACGAATCCGGTGTCCCTGCTGCTGGACAGCCTTATGCAACCGTACGCGGACATCGGACTAGATTTGGAACCGCTGGTGGAGTGGAGAAACGACGGACCTAAGGTCAGTTCAACCTCTAATCGTTTCTTTCCAAGGAGTTCAACATCGAACACGCAGGACACGCATTATTCATGAGCAAAAAGCGACCTCAACCATTTATTTCGTGTGTGTCCTTTGCGACTCAAATTTCCCCCCAAAATACATCAAAATTTATCCATCTTCAAGGACACTGCTCTTGTGACAATTAATACAACAAATCCTTCAAATTATGCAAACTCTTCTTGTAATCTTCTGCAATCGATTCTGGAAAATCTTCCTGTTATTAAGTGTATTTATGATAAGCGTTATCTTTTCGTATTTTTTTTTCCGGTTATTAATTAACTTCTAATCGCATTATTACATCACGCGATAGTTCTCTTGTTAATTAAATTTGTTGAAAGTCAATTAAAGTGTATTAACGTGTCACTTATGTATTGATAAGTTTATTGCTTTCATTGAGATTCTGAATCATGATTTTCGTTAATTAATCAAAGAAAATGAAAATTATGTATGAAATCAATATTCGCGAAAGAAAATTCAATTAGTTTGAGTCACTCCGTTAGTGTGCATCAGCAGATAAGTGTTTATCTATTCAATTGTTTTCCCTGTGTTAACAAAACAGATTTCGTTATTTTTATTTTTCGTTTTGTTTCATAGTTACGAACGAACAAATGTCAATTTTGACAACTATTGAA